GGGCAATTGTCATCAACATCGGTTACAGTTACATTGAGATTAGCTGTAGTGCTGAGTGGTACAGAACCTCCGTCTACTGCTACAAGAACCAAGAGGTGGTTTTCCTGAGTTTCCCGGTCCAGTTCTCTTTGTACCACCAGCTCAAGTTCATGCCCGTCTTGTCTGATGCTAAAAAAGCCACCAGAGTCTTCCAAATAGTAACGTATCGCGCCATTATCGCCCGTATCCTTATCCTGGGCTTGGTCATCCAGTGGGAAAGCAGTCCCGTTTGATGCATCTTCAGGTATGTGCAGAGGAATCTCATTCCTCTCGAAAATAGGAGCGTTGTCATTAATATCATCCACAATGATTATCATTGGCACGACTTCAAAATTAAGACTCACGACTGCGGTATTTGAAAAAGTACAGTCCCCATCCTGATGTGATGGACACAAGGTCTCTCTGTCTATGCGCTCTTTAGTGAACAGGTCCCCTGTGCTCTCGTCCACTCTGATGTATCTTTCATCGAGGAGCCGGTATGGAGCGGAGTAGGTCGTGCTTAGACTTCCGATCTTAACGCCTGCTTCTTGCTCCTCCAGGGTGGTGAAACGCAGGGCACGGCTATGGATTTGCCCAGCAGATGCCAGGAGAAGCACCCACTAAAAAACAACAGAAGAGACCTTACTGCTTGGAAGAAAGCAACACCCTTCTTTCCATATGAAGGTTTAACCACTCTGACTCGGGAGTTAAGTGTGCAATCCTTAACCAACAAGTCAGTCTTTTTTTTCCCGGTTGAATATGTTGTTGCACAGGCTGTATTATTGACTTATATGTTCCAGCAGCCAGAGATTTAACATTAAAATATATAATCCCAACTAAGCTCACAAATGCCTGTGCACATTCCATGAATAAATTGGTCTTGAATGCTTAAAATATTTGTTTTGCTTTTCCCAACGATGCATCAGTGAAGTTAACTGCTTAAAATCTTCTACAGTTTATGTTATAATGTTATGCTAAATAAAATATTACATTTATTTTGTATCAGTTTTATGTAAGGCTTGTCATTTTGCAACCATGTTTAGCTATATCATTTGCATGTATATTTTATATACAACTGTATGATTTCTTAAAACTGTAACAGTTACACATTAATAAAATCCAAGGTTAAAGGTTCTAACTAAATGGAAATACACTAGTAGCTATAACATGGCAGCAGATTTACAATTAGAAGGAGCTTGCTAAGAGGTAGGACTGTGGTTACTGAGAAATGTATTAATTGATGCTTAACTACAGGCTTGAGTAGTTATGCTTGAAAAATACATCATAAAAATATTATATCTAGCATATCTAAAATAAAACATAAGATTTATGCCTTGATTGCTGTAAAAATATGATTAGTAATGGGACACTTATTTGTGTCCTATTCACTGGCGCTTTTTTGGGTATTAGATTTTTTTCTCTTTAAACTTTTAGACATTTCTGGTATGTTTATTTGTATCCACCTGTCTGTCTATTTGAAACCACCAAGTGAAACGTTTTAAACACGAACACCGCCCGACACGAAGAATATGAATTAAACACAGACTGACTAATGTGGACTTTACCTCCGTGTAACCTGCGTCAAAATAAGAAGAGTGACTAATTTTCTTTCTGCAAACATAAATGATGCAGGATCACTGACCTGTAGTATAGTCCAGTTCATTATGTGGTGGTTTTGAGCTGTCCATTCTTCAAGAACATGTTGAGCTCTGTGAGCACGAGAAGCACTCTGGCGAAATGTGTTTGGGGGCGGAGCCTCATCTACCTGTGCTACAGGTGAACAGCTCGAGATTACTCACGATATTCAACCGTTGGTTAAAAGGGAAAATACAGGTCTGACGGGATGTTTTACCGGGTAATTGCTTTATAATGATAGATGGGACGCGGTGAAGTTTTTTTCCCATTTAACTCCAAGCACTATGCGTTAATAATATACACACGCTAAATCATAATAAGAGAGATTATGTAGTAGTTATAGCCTTTCTTTGGAGTTCGTATGGTTCACTTTAGCTTTTCTGAACCATGCTGAATTGGAACTATGGGTTTTAAACCAAACTGCACAGTTATATTTGCATTATTGCTGTTATGGTCAGCATCTCATTTGGCTCGTGTCTCAGTGTCGCCATCATGAGGGCAGTGATATTTACATCACATGGCTCTTGTAGTTCATAGTTTAGTGCTCTGTTAGTATTTCCTAGCATCAAGGGGGTTTATTGTATTTTATGGTATGTTATAGACTACAGAAATAAAGAAAGAAAATGGATGGATGGATGAAAGAAAGAACGAAAGAGAAAGAATGAATAAATAAATAAACAAATAAATGCGACGTGTCCAATTTACAAGTTTACAAAAGGGCAATGAATAGTATAAGAATGCTAACTGCCCTTACAAAAAAGTAAAAAAAACAACAGAAGAGACTTACTGCTTGGAAGAAAGCAACACCCTTCTTTCCATATGAAGGTTTAACCACTCTGACTCGGGAGTTAAGTGTGCAATCCTTAACCAACAAGTCAGTCTTTTTTTTCCCGGTTATGTTGTTGCACATAAAAAACAACAGAAGAGACTTACTGCTTGGAAGAAAGCAACACCCTTCTTTCCATATGAAGGTTTAACCACTCTGACTCGGGAGTTAAGTGTGCAATCCTTAACCAACAAGTCAGTCTTTTTTTTCCCGGTTGAATATGTTGTTGCACAGGCTGTATTATTGACTTATATGTTCCAGCAGCCAGAGATTTAACATTAAAATATATAATCCCAACTAAGCTCACAAATGCCTGTGCACATTCCATGAATAAATTGGTCTTGAATGCTTAAAATATTTGTTTTGCTTTTCCCAACGATGCATCAGTGAAGTTAACTGCTTAAAATCTTCTACAGTTTATGTTATAATGTTATGCTAAATAAAATATTACATTTATTTTGTATCAGTTTTATGTAAGGCTTGTCATTTTGCAACCATGTTTAGCTATATCATTTGCATGTATATTTTATATACAACTGTATGATTTCTTAAAACTGTAACAGTTACACATTAATAAAATCCAAGGTTAAAGGTTCTAACTAAATGGAAATACACTAGTAGCTATAACATGGCAGCAGATTTACAATTAGAAGGAGCTTGCTAAGAGGTAGGACTGTGGTTACTGAGAAATGTATTAATTGATGCTTAACTACAGGCTTGAGTAGTTATGCTTGAAAAATACATCATAAAAATATTATATCTAGCATATCTAAAATAAAACATAAGATTTATGCCTTGATTGCTGTAAAAATATGATTAGTAATGGGACACTTATTTGTGTCCTATTCACTGGCGCTTTTTTGGGTATTAGATTTTTTTCTCTTTAAACTTTTAGACATTTCTGGTATGTTTATTTGTATCCACCTGTCTGTCTATTTGAAACCACCAAGTGAAACGTTTTAAACACGAACACCGCCCGACACGAAGAATATGAATTAAACACAGACTGACTAATGTGGACTTTACCTCCGTGTAACCTGCGTCAAAATAAGAAGAGTGACTAATTTTCTTTCTGCAAACATAAATGATGCAGGATCACTGACCTGTAGTATAGTCCAGTTCATTATGTGGTGGTTTTGAGCTGTCCATTCTTCAAGAACATGTTGAGCTCTGTGAGCACGAGAAGCACTCTGGCGAAATGTGTTTGGGGGCGGAGCCTCATCTACCTGTGCTACAGGTGAACAGCTCGAGATTACTCACGATATTCAACCGTTGGTTAAAAGGGAAAATACAGGTCTGACGGGATGTTTTACCGGGTAATTGCTTTATAATGATAGATGGGACGCGGTGAAGTTTTTTTCCCATTTAACTCCAAGCACTATGCGTTAATAATATACACACGCTAAATCATAATAAGAGAGATTATGTAGTAGTTATAGCCTTTCTTTGGAGTTCGTATGGTTCACTTTAGCTTTTCTGAACCATGCTGAATTGGAACTATGGGTTTTAAACCAAACTGCACAGTTATATTTGCATTATTGCTGTTATGGTCAGCATCTCATTTGGCTCGTGTCTCAGTGTCGCCATCATGAGGGCAGTGATATTTACATCACATGGCTCTTGTAGTTCATAGTTTAGTGCTCTGTTAGTATTTCCTAGCATCAAGGGGGTTTATTGTATTTTATGGTATGTTATAGACTACAGAAATAAAGAAAGAAAATGGATGGATGGATGAAAGAAAGAACGAAAGAGAAAGAATGAATAAATAAATAAACAAATAAATGCGACGTGTCCAATTTACAAGTTTACAAAAGGGCAATGAATAGTATAAGAATGCTAACTGCCCTTACAAAAAAGTACTATAGTAACCACAGTCACCGCTGAAATACCATAGGTGTTATTAATATACGTTTTATTATACATGTTGTTACTACATTAACTGCGGTAACTTCAAATTACACCTGCTCTCATAAAAACGACAGAAAGGTTAATTTAGTTAATTATAATCGGATACATGCTTAAGGGAAATGAGAAAACAATGTATTTGGCGCTTAAAGAGCCACTACATCTTGGGCGTTATTAAAGGTGCATAACTGTGCCCTAAAACAGGGTTAAGGCTAGAAGGGATAGGTATGGTGCTACTGGGCATGCGCACATCAATACAGCGTAATTTTTGTCACACTGTACAACAATAATTACTATTTTTTCGTTATTGTAAGGGGTAGGTTTAGGGTTGGGGTAGGTGTAGACGTTAATAAAACACAATCTAATAGGTAGAAAATTAATTTCATTGTTCGTTTCCGGTCTGAGCTGTATCTCTTCTAGCCACAACCCTAAAACAGGGCGAGTAGACCGAAGTGGTCGGAAATTTGTATTTCTCTAGTTCCGCATGTGACGTCATGTGTAGGCGTCAGGGGAAATTTTGCCTCAGACTTGACTGTAACCACGGAGACCACACCGTGCTCTGATTGGTCGGCGCATCATGTGCTGGGCGGAGTCAATATACATCGGATGGGAACCCATCGTACTAATTTGAGAATCAGTTTCCAGCACTCTTCACAGAGGACCGCAGGATGTCTACAGCAAACTGTTCAGGTAAACTTTTCTTTGATAAAAATTCACATGCCACATTATTTCAAATGTGTTTTTTTTTTCTTTCTTTGTAAAAGGAGAGTAGCTTATTTAAGTTTATTCATTGTATTTATCTGTTTTATACAGTCAGTCAGTCATGTAGACATCAGTCATAAATAGTTTAGAGTGTGTTTCAGTGTAATTCTAATAGAGGACGTGAATTGTATTAGAGCTGGATCTGGAGCTGGGAGACTTGCTACAGGAGTTTAATGATGTTGTGAAGGAGTTGAGCACACCTCACGCCTCTGAACATGTGCTGGGAGATGTGAAGAGACACACAGCACTGACTGATGGAGACGACTCAGACTACTGCAAGTACACTACCACACACATCTAAACATGTCTGTTAAACAGTGTACATATGTCACAATACATTTTTGTAAGAGTTTAACTTGTACAGTATTGTCACCGAATGCCAAACCATTACGAATAGCCTACTCAATATTAAAGTGCCTCTTGATAATAATGTGTATACATATATGTATAAAGAGGAATACTGTTTCTTGTTACCTTTAGTAGATCATTTCCTCATATTTCCCAGTTCTAAATCACTGCTTTGCAATTTTGTTTCTTGGTCCAGCTTTGTCAAGCTATCAAAGGCTTCACTTCCGTGATTTATATCTCTCTTTGTTTTGATCCTCTTAAATAGATTATGTGAAAGAATGAATGTATTAGTGAGCCTTTGATCCTAAGAAAGATATTCTTGTGATGTACAGTACCTTGTGCACCTCGACCACCCTGTAGTTCCTTTGCATTCACATGTAAGAGGCACGCGTGAATCCTATTGTATCTTCTCAGGCAGCGAAGCTTCGCTGGTAAACAGCTTGAATGCCAGTCAAGAGGAGCTCAACATCCCAAGCATGACTACAGCCCCAAAAGGTATTAACATAACATAACATAACAGATAGCCATCACATTTACTAGACAAGCTAATGGCTTTTCCTATCTGCTCCACGTGTGGCTGTAACCCCTGTGTGCTATTTCTATTCTACTCATCTTATTGTAGTCTTTGTTTGTGGATTGTACTGCTTTGATGCTCCTCATTTGGCTACAGGATGCATGATAAGCACGAATGCTGGCACGACGGAATTGAATATGATAATGTTGTAAGATGGTAAACCAGCACAGACATAAAGTGAAGATCTATATTTGTGTGCCTTACTACTAATTTAGTCGTATTGTAATTTTAATATAATTTAAATATGTTTACTACAAAGGCGTAAATTTAGTTTTGTAAATATGAAAATACATTTCTATACCTCTGATTAATTTTAAATTGCAGTTATGGCTGCACCCCCTGCTCATTCAGGGATGTGTGTTTATTGTCTGGATGGAGCAAAGGCGAAATGTGTTTAAAATGCACGTACACAGTTCAGTTGAATGATAACGTTTACCTTTTTAATTTAATGCAAATTAATGCAAACCTTGAATCTTAATCTGAACGTACAAAGCAAACAGTTTACTGAAAAGATCAACAATCATAAAAGTAACTGTCCCCAGTGTCAAAATCAAAACTACGCCCTTGGTTCATTATGATTTTTAATAAAGATTGTGTTAAAGCCAGTTGAAAATGTGGCATTTTATTGTGCATAGGGAATGCAGAGGGTCGCATTTCTTTCGGGCTGGAATGTTCCACAGGAAATACCACGCACTTAGCTGCGTTTCCACAGCGTCTGAAGCATTCCCGTGCGCTAACGTCTCTCTCTCTGCTCTTTACAGCCAGGCTCGGGGACACCGGCGACCTACAGAGCTTCATTGAAAACCTGGATAGAGAGCTTGCAGGTATAAACACAGTTTGGTTCGGTTGGTCACATTTAAGGCAGCTTTTGCAACTCTATCTTTTGAAAGCATGGTGTGGCATAGAATCAGTGCTATGAGAATATTTTATTAATCTAGATCAAAAAAGTCGGCCAAAAGCATACCCTATGCAAGGACATGAATGCAGAATGTTTGGCCAACCACAAATGTGCGTTCCCATAGTTCTGTAGCGGTAACAAACCTCAGAACCCGAGCGAGCTATAGACTTAGTCTCTAGGTATATAATCGGATATGTTATTTATTAGTAGATAATATAACAGAAAACAAGTTGCATTACAGATCAACACCAATTATCCTGTTTTGTCAGCTGTGCTCAGCAGTGTTGGGGAAAGTTACTTTTAAAAATAATGCATTACAATATCGCGTTACTATGGAAGCCCGTTTCCGCCACTGAATAAAAAATTTTTAAAAAAGGTTATTGCGACTTTTTATCTCACAATTCCGACTTTTTTTCACAGAATTGTGAGATATAAACTCACAATTGCGAGTTATAAAGTCACAATTGCGAGACAAAAACCCGCAATTCGGACTTTTTGTCTCGCAATTGCGAGTTTATATCATGCAATTCTGAAAAAAAAAGTCAGAATTGCGAGTTTGTATCACGCAATTATGAGAAAAAAAGTCCGAATTGTGAGATAAAAAGTCACAATTACCTTTTTTATTTTTTATTCAGTGGTGGAAACGGGCTTCCA